TACAAATCCTAATTATGTATTTTTTTCATAATCAATTATTTGTTACAAATAATGTTATTATACATAATTATCTATTATGAATTCTCATCCCGATATCTCACTTATTATTTGTCTCTCTTCCCGTTTGTGAGTATGAGTTGCTTTCCTTTTTTAATATATTTTTTTGTAATAATAAATATTCAATCTTATTTAATTAATCACCAAAATAAAATTTCAAGTCAAAATTTTATTTAATTATTATTTTTATTGAAACATCAAACACAATATTATGTTTTCGGTTATATTGGGTATATTTCAAGGTAAAATAGAAAAAATCATAACTAATATGATATCTATATGTAACATAAGAAACAAATATTTTTATAGTTTTTAATTTGACATCTTTATGCATATATATAGATAAATTTTTAGATTTGATATGTCAATTTAAATTCGTCATTGTTTATTTTAACATATACATGTCCATATATTTTCATAAAAATATATAATAGTACATTTGAAACATATACTCTATATTGGTGGAATTTACATACACATTAAAAAAATATGTAACCATCTCTTATTAATTTAATATTGTATTATTTTATATCTTTATATAATTCTAAAAAATTACAAGTGATCATTAATTTATTTGTATTGAGTACTTCATTCCAAAACAATATCTTTTAATTTAAATTGTAAAATATTTCATAATTCGCAAACTCTGATGTGAGTTGAAGTAAGAGTTAGTCAAGTCAACGGGTCATTCTTTTTTAACAAAAATGTGAATTTAGACCACCAAATTTCATACTTTGTTTATTTTATTTTATAATATAATTTCTTAAATAATAAATAAAATACAAATAGAGTGAAATAAAAAATAATAATGTTATATTTATCATATATAACATAATTTCTCCGACTAAAAGAAATGTATTTTTCAAGAAAAAATACAATATCCATATGAAATAGATTTAAAAAATGTTGAATAACCTTTACTTGAGTAAAAAATAAAAATAAAAAATGATAACATAAAGAGTGAGAGGTCTCAACAACAATAAGAGAGTTAAAATAAGTATTTATATAGTTTTGACTCACAAGACAAAATTATCATATTGATTAAATATATCTGATAACCATTTATTTTATTTATTTCATTTGATCTAAATTTGAGGTTATATAAAAATTGGTATGGTCATATTGATTGAATATATCTAATAACTATTTGTTTTATTTATTTCATTTGATCTTAAATTTGAGGTTATATAAAAGCTGGTGAAAAGTGACAACGCTTATTTTTTATAATAAATACAGAATTATACAAATAAAAATTTTATAATAAAAGTAGCATAATGTGTCAATTATTGTTTAACTTTTGTTTATAAACAAATCTTTTTTTAATGAGAGAATGATGAGAGTATATTATCGCAACTGAATGTTGTAGTGATAAAGTTAAACACAACTTATTATAATGAATCCACTACTTTTTCCTTATCATATATCAAAATGTTAATTTCACAATAATCCATTTTTAATATATTTTATATATTATAATTTAAATTTATTTTTTGTATTACTTTACAAAAAAGTTTGTCAATTTTTATT